TCTAGGTTTTATCTTCTCTTCTCCTTCGCATAGTTTGGCTTATTGTACATCCAGTTCTCCTAATGGAAATGGTTTATTTTTTCTTGGCATGTCCCAATATTTGAATATCACTAGACGGTTCAAGTGTTCATATAGCTAGTACTATGATTCGTATATTTCTTATTGTGAGTTATCGCGATTATTATGTCGCGTTATGGCGATTATTATGTCGTTTTGTATCGATTATTATGTCGTGTTGTGTCCATTGGTAATGCCGATTATTAGTTTCCAGTATGCAGGAAAATTGTATTTCATGTTGTGAAATAGTCATTTCGACATTTAACAGTCTCATGGTCTTCGCTGAATCATGCGGCATATTTTCTGTATTCTAGGTGGGCTGTTTTGCTTCTATGTACGAAGATGAATGGTTAAAATATATTTTGGTGACATGGGTGTGTATTTTTATTCCTTTAGTGGGTAGTTTCCAAAACAATTCCCGAAGCTCACTTCACAAATTATGTTGTTGTCAATGTTCACGTTTGGGACACGCATATTGGGAGATCCCTCAGGAAGGAGAACATTTCTTCTCTTTACCTATCGTAATGATCTTTATTTTGTCACTTTCTGTCTTTAGTGCAGCAGCTGTTTGCCAAAAAACGTTCGGTATCACAAACAGTTGGTAAAAGAGCAAGATGACAATTAAAAAGAAGGGCAGATTTTTAATTCTGTAGTGAGAGCGAACTTTCTTGAGGGAGTAGAGGGAGGGCACAACCAAACAGCTTTGAGATGCTCTAATTTACGTTAATGACTTTTAAATGGAACTAAATGAGCAGTATATAATAATGGATGTAATTATTTAAAATCGCTCGTTGGTTGCTTCTGATCAAACAGTACAAGTATTGGATCCCAGGCGTTCTATTTATACATCAATGATACACCATCGTCTCAATACAAACCATCCCCCTGTAATGTGTTATTCATAATACTGACTCCACGATGGCTGAACATATCACTGTCGAAAAGATGCAACAGATGCTTTGCAAAAAGGAGCTGTCTATGACAGAGAGTTTTTGAGAAAATTTGATCTTGACCCTGTATGATCTAGGTGGCGAGGAAGCCATAGACATTTGCTCACATGCTTAGACGATCCATTGGACAGATACAAGACCTATACTCCATGCCATATCTGATGAAGATACTTGAAGTCAAGAACCAATAGTGCGACATGAAGCAGGTAAGACTTTTCTCTAATCGCTCATATTTTACTGTTACAGTATCTGTATAAGTTTTAAAGTGCAATTAGAGTCTCAACGTATACACGTTTGGATATCACTCAACTATTTCTCCGACCACTTAACATGATAATAAATAAAATAATAAAATATGATAAATTGCTTTTCCAGGATATAATAACTGTTTGTTCTCAATAACAAAGCTTGATTTAAGGTGAAATATAAATCTATTTTATATCAACTTCCTAATAAAATATATTTTTGTTTTTTTACCACAGCTCAAGCATTTGGTGCTATGGGCGCCAACGAAAAACAAAAATATACTTGAAAAGTATAAATTCGTAAACCGTATCGTTTGTTGCAGGTTTGGATACAAAATGGCCGTTATGATGTTACGTTAATCATCTATCCTAAAAGCTGTTATCTATAGATGACCCGACGATGAAAGTTTCGAGACTTGACAAGTAGTGTTTATTGCTGGTTATGGAAGTTTTGGAATAATAATAACAATAATATTTATGAAAGACAGAACAAAAACTGAAAAATTTTCAGTGTAACTCAAAAGCTTAAAGTGCCGATGAAATTCCCACAAATACATTTCTTGTCTTGTAGCCACGCCTCCTATCCTGGCTCAGTCGACTGTTTCCGGTTTTCGACAGCCCCACTCTACCGAAACTAAGCGCCACCAAACGCGAAATATGAGCGGAAACCAAACTCTTATGCCATACTTTTACAGTATTGTGTCATTGAATAATATATTTTTTGGTAAAAAGGTTTAGTAAAATTATTTTTCACAATTAATATATTTTCCAGTGGAACACATTGCCGATGTTGATTCAAGAAAAAATTGTCACGTCGTCAAAATCCGGAATATCATTTTGATGACTGTTTAGACTGTTTAAGATCCCGTACCAAAAATCGCCACGGAGCTGAATCCTGCCTCAATCGTCTTCTTCAAGTATGGCGGAGACAATATCGTTCGTAATTTCACGCAATTTCCGGCTAGACGAAGAGGTGGGGCTCTAATATCTATTTGACAGCGTAAAGAAATACTGCGATAGATTGATAGCTCAACGGATCAATAGCGTACGAAATTATGCTACAAAAACCGGAAAGATTGATTGAACAGATCCAGTGAAAATTGTAGAATTATTTTAAAGACACCAAAGATAAAAATCGTGGAAGTGGTCAAGGTACGGTGACGTGATTCTAGTTTAGATTCAGGTTCAGATTGACAACTGTTTACATGTCGCAACAGTTGAACAATTACAAAAGGGTAATTTTGCACGACAATAACTTAAGAGAATAGGCTGTAACACATTTTAGCTGCAGTGTTTATGTTTCCTGTTTATTCGAGATACTAGTATCTAAATCATAACACCAGTCTTTTGTACCTCAATCCTCAGACTCGTGACTGTTTCTTTTTTTCTCCCAGCTCAACAGTATCGTGCCATGTAAATAAACAATACAAGCATGATACCAATATCGTTCTCAGCCATGTTTTTTCATATTAATTTTTTGGGGACACTGTTCCGCTCAGCTCTGATCGATCTGAATCAAACTCTGGCATATCTTGGCACTCGTTAGGCTCCGACCGTGTGAATGTATTGGAGATAATCTCTTGTTAATCGGTGGTAAGAGTAGTACTTCGGCTCCGATAGAGTGCTGCCGTATGCACATAGCAAAAGTAGTCACTGCTAAATACAATAAAAAAAAAAACCTAATTATCAAATTCATTAAAAATATGTTTATAATCTTTACACTAAACAAGCAAATTGTTGATTCTAAACAATAGTCTAACAGCGTTTGAACCGAATGTGCGAACATGAAGTCGCTATCATAAGACCGTAGAGGGAGGGCACTACCCGAAGGGAGTAGATGAGGGGCTCAGCCAAACAGCTTTGGGAGCCCTTAATTTTCGTTAATGACTTTCAAAATTGATAGTAACAATTACATGAGCCGTATATAATACTGATCAACCCGTACAAAAATTGGAGCCTACGCATTCTATTTATACATCAATGATACACAATCGTCTCAATACAAACTACCCCTCTGTGTTATTCATCATACTTACTCCAACATGGCTGAAAATATCACTGTCGAAAAGATGCAACAGACGTTTTGCAACAAGGAGCTCTCTGTGACCGAGCGTTTTCGGGGAATGTTCACCCTGCAAGATCTAGGCAGCGAGAAAGCCATAGATAGTTTGCTCACATTCCTAGACGACCCATCAGCACTGCTAAAATACGAGGCAGTATTTTATATTGTACAGATGCAAGACCCATACGCCATACCATATCTGATTAATGTACTGGAAGACACAAGTCAAGAACCAATAGTGCGACATGAAGCAGGTAAGAATTTTCACTAATCGCTCGTGTTTTACTGTATCTGTAAGTTTTAAATGCAATTAGTTTCTCAAGGTCTATTCAACATCTGTCAATATCAATCAACTGCTTCTCCGACAGGTTTTCAGCAATACAGGACTTCAAAGTCAAATTATGTGCTCAATAACAATGATTAAGTAAAGTTATGTAAATTATTTTTCCATGATATATGAACTATATGTGTTTAACCTAAATTAATTTTTTATCAACTTACAAATAAATTATGTTCTTGTTTTTTATTATAGGTGAAGCACTTGGTGCTATCGGTTCGAATGCAGTGTTTAATATACTTGAAAAGTATAGATTCGATCCGGTGATCGAGGTGATAAGTAGAAGTTTTCTGTAATATGTATGGTTTGTGGCAGGCTTGAAAACAAAATGGCCGTCATGATATCACGTTAAGTCAGCTTAGATTGATATTTCTGCAGTAGTACCAGTATTTGTACAGAACTTGAATGTATAATCTATATATCTGTGAGGAAATACAATGAAAACAGAAACATCATGTCGAAAGTATACACTCGCAGAAATTAGTGAAATACGTTTTAGGGGTAAACAGAGAAAAAGGTTTCATAGTTAAAATTTCGTTATAGAGACTGAAATCATAACAATGTGGCAATATAGTGTGGTTTTTGAAAAAGAGGTATAATAACAGCTTTTGCTCTTGAAAAATCCCAGGTAATTTGATCATATTTCCCAAAAGCAGTTAAATATAGATGACCCGGTCATTATATTACATTTCCAGACTTGAAAAGTAGTAATTCATGGGTTTTGAAAGTTTTGGAATAATATTAAAAATAATAATGAAAAACAGAACAAAAACTAAAGAATTCGAATTGTAACTGAACAGCTTGAATGCGCGACAGTCAGACGCATATTAAAACAAATACACAGTTTTTATTTAAATTAGTGAGCCGAATAATGGATTCGAGCAAAACTAATTGGACATACAGACTCAGTTGGACGAAACAACGAACGGCTATTAATATTCTGTTGCGGGAAGCACATTAGTTCGTTCACAATCTACTTTGTTAACAGTCACACACATTTACCACTAAAATCGTTTACTAATTTTATTTTATTTGATCTTAGATTGCTGAAACCTGTCAATTGGCCCTGGCAAGAATCAACTGGTTGAATAGTAATAAACATAGTCAAGTCGAGAATCAATACAAATGTGTTGATCCTGCTCCAGCATCAGATGACGATAATGTTCAGTCATTGAAAAGCGCATTGCTGGATGAGTCGTTACCATTGTTTGACCGATATAGAGCTATGTTTGCATTAAGGAATAAGATAAGCGAAGAATCAGTTCTGGCACTTGCCGAAGGTACGTATTGTTTCGATCGATGCATTATTTGTAATGCACCACTGTTAAGATTTGCCGTTTACGTTACAAGTAAATTTGAGAGCCTAGTTGCTGTGGCAATGCTGGCCACGAACATGGCTGAACGAAATAACAATGATGATGTACTCGTACACACATATATCCTGTGTAAATAATACTGGTCAGGTCTATATAATTTAACAGTACGTTTACTGAACGAAAGCACAAACATATTCATAACCCATTTATCTGCTAGGTATGAAAGCCAGTAGCGTAATGCTACGACACGAATTAGCGTTTATATTTGGGCAAATGAGAAACAAGCTAGGCTGGCGACGCACTTGGAAGGAACGCCGATGACACGATAGTTACAGTGTTGACTGACGCTTTGAAGAATTCTAACGAGAGTCTAATCGTTCGCCACGAATGTGCGACTGCTCTGGGAGCAATGGATAAAAAGAACTGCACGCACATCTTGGAAGAATATTTGCATGACGAAGAGGCTGTTGTCAGTGATAGCTGTCAGATTGCCTTGCATGTGTATGCTCACTCATTATTTAGCAAGTAATTGAAATGATGTTAATATATTACATATGTTACTGAAAGCTACCACACCATCATCTATAGAGAAACTAAATCCACTCACCCTAAAATAGATAGTCAACTAGATTATTTTTGTTTCTGACTCTATAATGGATAAGATGGTTTTAAATTATTGATCTAGCATTCTTTTAGGTTCACCTAATAATTACATACAATATAATGGTTTAAGGTGTTAATCGATTGTGAACAAGTAAACAAGGTATTATATTTCTAACATGTCTCTATTGAATAATATAGCTCTCTAGCTCTAAATCAGTGATGTTGAAAAGGCAGGCTACTATGTAACATTTTGAACTGAATTATTTGTGATTATATTATTGTTGAAAATCAGAGTATAAAAAACAATCAACATATGAAATAAATAAAGTTGTGAATTTGGGGAAATCGAGTAGTAATGATTTTGTGATTTTGCTTGTTGAGCAAATTATTTAGTATAATATCAAACGCTATTATTATTCTCAAATCCATATTTAAAAAAAATATAAACTTTTTAAAAAGCACACTTTATGTGTCTTCTTTTCTTCTTCAAACATATTGGATTATTCTTCATCTAGTTTAGCAATTGCTCCCATAGAAATGGTTTCAGTTTTTATTGGCCTGCATCAGTCTTTGAATATCACTGGATGATTGTTGTTCATACGGAACTCAATATGATTGTTATATTTCTTTATTCATTTGTTCGAAGTAGATACCTTTGTATCATCTTGATTCATTAAATAATTGAGCTGGTGTTTTTTATTAGTCTATTTTAATTACATTTAATTTGTTTTTCCCAATAGTTTAATTATTATTATTATTATTATTATCATTTGCATCTCATCTCATATAGTTCTTTTGTAATTTTAATCTTACTATTTATTTTAGTATATATTTGAGATTGCTTTTATTGGAAAAAGAACGAGAATGAAAATTAAACTTGAATATACGATATAAGCCTTTTCCTTAAACAAAATAAAAAAAACAATTAATGAACAATGTAATGGCGTTCTTGCAATCTCAAATCACCATAATTGCTTGTGTCTGTTAAACTAATGTTTCTTTCTCTCTCGTCATCACGCTGCTGGCAAATATTGTGGTCACATGAGAAATCGCTAGTACACACCACACCCACAATTATTGTCTGTTCGTCAATGTTTATGCACGGTGTATGCAAGTAATAATTCATGTTGGAAACGGACAAGTAGGCAAACATACAATGACATACAGTGACAGTTTGAATATATATGCATGTATGACAAACCGATATTATCTATTATTATATCTAAGGTAATGAATGATACGACGACCTGGCCTGCGTATTTATCATTCATATTATTGTCCCCATACTATATTATAGCTATAGACCGCCGCGGGCCATCATAATATTATAATAGCTTAACTACCCAGACCATCATATTATAATAGATAGACTAAACACCCAGACCATCGTATTTCCGTTGCTGTATCTCAGTGTGCGTAGGCCAATACTCGTATACATCGTGCGTAAACATTGGCGAACAGAAACTTGGGCCGCGGTGTGTACTAGCTATTCCCTATGGAACAAGCATTGTGGAATGCTATTTATTGCAAGAATACAAAATGTACAAACAACCGTTGTGTTCACCGGCAAACTCGCCAGGTAAAAGGAGCATGCGCATTATGTGGGATTTAATTAAAACTTTATAATACATTGGACAATTGCGAATTTGATACACGTAACTTTGGTTTGCAGATCGGATTCAAAATGGCTGTCTGGTAGCCCCTTAGTTTAAAAGAATGCCATTTTCCAAATTTTACACATGCTTCATATATTATGTCACACATATGGACGTGCATTTATTTCACGGCTCAATTACAGAAAATGTATATGCAAACCACGTGATTTCCATATATAGCCATTTTGAATTGAAAACAGGTCAAAATACTTACAAGTGAAGTTCAAAATCGCTGGTTTTTCAGTCACAGGATATAACATATAATCTGCGACCTGCATTGATGAAACTGTGTTCTTAAATAGGTTACTCATTGATATTATTCTGTGTTATACTTTCGTTGAAAACTGATATGGTCTATCAAGCAGCCATACGAAACAGTTTACGTTACGAGAGTAACCTTTAATTTTAAGTCAAACTGATTTTGAAGATTAATTATACATATTTTTTACATATTTACTCACTTTCATGCGGGAAATGTCATGCTACAGCCGAAATACAGTAATAAATGCTTTTCTTCAATAACATTTTTTGTATTAAAGGTAATGTACAAATTTGCAGAAATGAACTAGTTGATTATCAAATATCTCGAGAATCACTCATGAGATTTCAAAGAGACATGGTAAATAGATATTCGTAGGTAATCCATAAACGTAATTTGTTTAGGGTTTCACCATGCATGTTATTTACTTTATTTGCAATATCTCAATAACTAGATGTTAACGGAACTTGTTACATATGTGGGATACTTCACATACGTGATTAGTTTATGGTGGGAATCAGTGTTTCTTAAATTGTGTTTGAAGCCAGTGACATATCAAGTAATATGTGTAGTGCAATAAATAAAACAGTTACGGTACTCGCATGACATCTGTATCAGTACCTTCATGTCAATAGCCAAACATCGCCAGGCAGTTCCGTGGTTTAGGTTGTAATTCAGTCTTCATCATCTTAGAATCATAAAGTTACTGTTATTGTTAAAATTAGTGTATGCAGGATACTCTGTCCGACGATGAAAGATGAGGAGCATTTTCCAATACGATTTGTCTGAGATGAAGACCAGGTTCTTAACTTGTTTCCTGTATAGACATTAGACATTGTGCATAAATTAGCTAAATTTCAAGTGCCCCACGGGTATCCTACGAACCACTCATATATTTCCAATGAAACTTGGTACATAGCTGGGCTATTATCATGTGCAAACCTTTCGTTGAAATTCATGCCTTGTAACCTGATTTGCATTTACGGAACTTGATTTAAATACTTGGTGCTCTCTGATTGTTTTTTACATCTCAAGGCGCGTAACTATATTAGCCACCAGATTTTTTTATCTAACTTATTCAATAAAAATATTTTTCATTTCCCTTTCGTATTCCTCCAATATCTTCAACATACAGTGGTACTGTCGTACTTTTGAATGTTTGTACCATCAACTTCGTTATGTCTCAGGGTGTCTGTAAATTGTTATAGTAAAGTGAACATGTATACAAAGTTACATTTCTTATGAGATGTTTTGTAATAAATAATACTAAATATTATAATTATTATTATTACTATTATTATATGTTACTATTTCTACTTCCACAACACAGATATGACCTCAGTTGTCGGGAGTATAATTGGCTTGACGCAAATTAAATGCTGGGTCACTTGTAAAGCAAAATAAATATTCGTAAAATAATTAAATATTTGGATATTATCTGTCCTGTGTACATTGCCTGTGACCCTCATAGCACAGCCAATTTCGTCATTTTGTGACTTTTTATACAGAACGTTTCTTTTCATGATAAAAAAAACACATTTTGCACCAATTGTTAAAGACACAAATGTCGAAAAAAATAGTATTGACATTGCATGAGGCATGTATAATAAGTTTTCTGACAATCTTAGTTCGCGTTGCAAATAGTGTGGTTCTTGGTTTGAATGGAGCCTGCAAGATTAGCATTCAGTATTAAAATTGTTCATATAAACCTCAGGAATTGAATTTTATTGGTGGAAAAGTGCACATAGTCGACGACGCAAAACTGTGGTTGCATTTCAGCTGATACAGTCGTGGCCGTTCCACGCCAATTTCCAGAAAAAAACGCCTTCCTCTCCACCAATATGAGTTGGAAGACAATTTGGCAGACTAAAACAATAAGGGCCCTCAAAGTTGGACTCACGATACTACACAGACAGGCGAAGAGATTTGAACACCGAGGATAATGTTGGAAATGACAGATTTCCCGCTACACATAGTTGAATTCTGAAGTATTAACTACATGGCGATAAGAAAATGCTGATTGGTTTGTCTTGTTCATACGCACTAATTCAGTATTATACCGAAACGTTGTGAGTACCGGTTTATTATATAGATGTAAATTAAGCTATGTAATATTATTTAGATCGTCAGTCTATTGACTGCGAACAAAATTGTAATACCGCCCTCACATGTACATTGTGCACACATCTATACAATTGCTGACAGAGGGCGCTACTTACTATGGTGCCACAATTCATACACGATATTTTCACACCAACAATACAATAATAACGTATCTCCGTTTGAACACGATCTTCCTTGTATTTTTTTATAAAATAAGGATGTTTTGATTTTAATAAAAGAAAGCAGGGAGTAAAATGGTATTCAATAATCTGGGAAATTTAACCCATCCCTGAAAAAATAAACTAAATCAAGTATTATTTTATCGATTGCATAAATTAAACATACAAACTTCTAGTAAACATGATTTGAACTAAGAAAAGACAATCCGCACCAAACATATTTAAAAACAATATTTTACTACGGTACCTTGTGAATATATAAGGTGTAACTTTTATATGTCTCGATAATTTGACCCGAAAGTAACACAGCAGTGTCACTGATTAGGTGTGCTGGTAAACATATACTGAATTTACATTCATGTGAACGAAATATCATTGGTAAGCAAAACTGAAATGCAGTAGTAGTATTCCAAGCAATCTCGAAGTGTTCTGAAATCATATAATAACACACTGTTGGCAACACGCAAAACAGCCAGGGCTCAACTCATTCCGGCTACTGTACATCGCAACAACGTTCTCCCTTATATCAGTGTCGTATGGTTTATTGTTATTTTTCTTCTTCATCACGTGAATCATACTCATCAACAAAATTATCTGAGTCTGTCGAGTGTTTTCATTTTTTGTCTTGTTATCAAACGCCAATACTCTGTTACCGCACTTATAAAGCAAATTTCTTAAAAATTCAGGAGTGTCTTGCAGAAAATTTGTCAAAGAAACACCGTCGTCCGATAACTGGTCTTTCCTTGCAAATAGAACGATAAAATAT